GCTAAGAATGAGGAAAAAACTCGTTAGCTACTCCATGCCCAATGTCCTACAGCTTTAATAAGATCCAGGAGGACGAGGCAAGTTAAATTGGGGATTATCACAGCATGGTGAAATGAAAAGCATAGTTTTTAGAGTCAGAGAAACTTGAATGCTCAAAAAATTTACTTCTCTCCAACTTATTATTCTCCCTTTCATTAAGTCTTTATTACAGAATTGTGGCATTCGTTTTCTAGTCTTAGCATGAAGCTCAGTACTGGGAACAACCAAAATACTCCTTTCTGTTTCTGATTGAGTGGATACGCCACATCTAGCATCAAAAGAGACTCTCGAATGAGAAGGCTAACTCACTCTGGTAGGATACAGAAAATCACTGCTTGGTGGATGGACTCTTGCTGTCATAGACTATTTAGAATCTGAGAAAAGCTATACACATAAAACAAAAAATGACAACACAAAAATTGTCACAAAACTTCGGATAGTCTTTTAAGCCCTTGAACATGATCCAAATTAGGAAGCTAGGGCAGTGGATTCTCCTGCAGTAAAAGGGAATCAGTAACAATTTGGAAAAGACATAAGGGAAGTATTCACGGAGAGAGGGGAGCGATGCCACAGAAAGAGCTTCCAACTGAGAATCAAGTAACTCAGAGATCCAGGTTTGCCACGAATTTACTAAGTTACTTAGAAGGTTGTTGTAGAAAACATCAGAGGAATGGTGACTCTTAATGATCTTTAGGCCTCTTTTAATCTTGAGTTTCTACCCTTGTCTCTGGATCTTTCTCTACTTCATGAAGTGAGGGTGTTGGTGCTACGGACTGCACGTTCGCGTCCTCCCCAAATCCCTATGTTGAAGTTCTAACTCCCACTGAGGCTGTGTTTGAAGACAGAGCCTCTAAGGAGGTCAGTAAGGTTAGACGAGGTCGTAAAGGTGGAGTCCTGACCCGATAGGATTAGTGCCCTTATAAAAAGAGACACTAGGTGGTATACACAAACAATGGACTATTATTCGGCACTAAAAAGAAGTGAACTATCAATCCATGAAAAGTCATGAAGGACCCTTAAATGCATATTACTAAGTGAGAAGGTGGCCTTCTACAAGCCAGAAAGAGAGCCTTCATCATAAACTGAAGTTGCCAGCACCTTGATCTTGGACTTCTCAACCTCCAGAACTGTGAGAAATAAACTTCTGTTGTGTAAACCACCCAGTCTGTGGTGGCCCAAGCTGATCAATACAGGTGGATAATCCCTAAGATTCTAGTATCATGTCTATTTCTATATCGTCATGAATTGCTAATGAGTTCAATTTTGGGAGCCCATTACAAGAAACAACTATGGATGGGCATCTTTTGCATCTTTTGTAAAATGATTCCTTGGGGCAGCACATATTAGACTGTCTACGTTTCGTAGACTTTACCATCTCCTGATGTACTTTTACCAATGAGAAAAAAATATGTGCACTAGCTTGATTAAAGATGATCATTTAAGGGAGAAGGAAGAATCGTTTAAAATGCCTTTCAATGTACTGCTATAAGACAGTGTTCTGAATATAGCAATGTGAATCACTGTAACTCCTTGGCATTTGCAACCTGAAAGTTGAAGAGTGGGAGTGTTCTTGTGCCCAAAGTCAAGGCTAGATTAGGACATTCTAATGCCTTAAATTAAGTAAAATATTTGGGGCTTGCCCGGTGGCGTAGTGGTTAATTTCATGTGCCTTGCTTCAGCAGCCTGGGGTTCACAGGTTTGGATCCGGAGCATGGACCTACACAGCGTTCATCAAGCCATGCTGTGGCAGTGTCCCACATACAAAATAGAGGAAGATTGGCACAGATGTTAGTTTAGGGACAATCTTCCTCAAGCAAAAAGGGGAAGATTAGTAACAGATATCAGTTCAGGGACAATCTTCCTCAGCAAAAAAAGAGAAAAAAATAAGTAAAATATGAGAGCCTGAAAAAAAAAGATTATTTTTACAGAAAATGCACTAATAAAATGAACATATCTAACAAACAATCTCTTGAGTGCCTCATCCTCTAGTTACTCTGGTAGATATCTTAAAATTCTTTTTTTCCTTTCTTTTTATGTTTCATTGCATTATGAGATAATATGTCTAAAAACAAAAGATTTTTTAAATTGTAAAATTACTTAAAACACATCCTTGAACCACATCAACAACTTTTGTGTCGTAAAATGGTTTCAACAATTATATTTTCACTTCTCTATATTTTTTTAAATTTTAGGTATGAAACTTTTATTAAAAACTTTCAATCCAATGAAAAAATTGTCCAGCTTCCTAAATAAAGCAGTAAGCCTGCAAAATATCTATATGCCTTAGACATTCACTAAATCACTCAAAATAAAACATTTTGTTTGTCTTGCCATAGGGCAAGATATTGATAATTTTGTAATATCTATTTTCTCACATGAAAATAGGAAACATAACTTTCACACAAAAATTATAAAATCATATTCATAAGAATAAGTATAAAAATTATGTCAGATATTCCAGACTCAAGAGTTATAACTGTGCACAAAAATAATTAAGAAAAAATAAAAAAGGACACATGACTCGACTAACGGCAGAAAGCACATCTTAAATTTGTTGGAGAAATTAACAAAATGTTGACTGTGTTATTCATTAATATTCATACATTTAATTTTTGTTGGAAAAATAAGTTGTTTGACTTTGTTTTGCCCCATTTATAAAAGTTTCATTATACTGTGGATGATATATAGATTTACACATGCTTTATGTGAAATTTTTTATACTCTGTATTAATTGATTTAAACTCAGCATGTTCCAAAAGGTAATTTGATGTTGCTTTCAATAATTAGAAATGATGAAATTTTAAAAAAAATAATAAACAAAAACTAAATAATACAAGTCTAAAGAAGAAACCAAAAATAAAAAGAGGAAAGAAAAAAACAAAAATTGAGCTAACTCTACTCTTTGACAGGATTTTTTCCAGATGTTTTCTATTAAGTGGTTTTGAACAACCTAATGTGTGATGGCCTGGGGAACAATTTGACAAAAGACAAAGAGATTGTCCAAAGACGGGTGCTGCTTAGAAAAGTTCTGAGTGAAAATCATCCATAAGATATCAAAATATATTTCTGTGAAAGCAATTCTATCCAGAGCTACAGTTGTATGGTCCAGATATATAGATCGAGCTTCAAGAATAAACATTTCTAAATTAGGAGCAGGTCAATGCTCTCTCAATTAAATGGGAAAGGGCTCAAACTAGAATGGGATTCTGAATTGTTGTAATAAGATATGGAGTTTCTGTAACATGCAAATCTTTAAAAAGTAAATATGCTTATGGTGCTTGGCAAGAGAAATTAATGGCTTTACTCTCACAAGGCAGCAAGTATCATAACAACAATAAAGTAATCTAAGGTTTTGTGAGTTAAATTTGTATCCTCTCTTTGTTAGTTCAGGTTCTTCAGAGACACAGAGCCAGTAGGAGATATATATACATTTTATATAGACATATATATATAAAATGATGAATTGGCTCCCTTGATTATGGAGGCTGAAAAGTCTCACCATCTGCTGACTCCAAGCTGGAGACCCAGGAAAGCCCATGGTGTAATTCCGTCCAAGTCCAAAGGCCTGAGAACCAGGGAAACTGATGGTATAATCCTAGCCTGAAGGCTAGAGAAGATGAGACAAGATGTCCCAACTCAAGTAGACAAGCAAGAAGCAAAAGGGGCAAATTCCTCCTCCCTCTGCCTTTTGTTCTATTCAGGCCCTCAAAAGATTGGATGATGCCCACCACAATGGGGAAGACAAGCTACTTTACTGAGTCCATCGATGCAAGTGCTAATCTCATCAGAAGACTCCCTCACAGACACACCCAGAAATAATGTTTAATCTGGGCACCCCATGGCCAGTCAAGTTGACATATGAAATTAACTCTCACACTCTGTAACGCCCTCAAATTTTGAAGAACCAAGGCTCCTGAAAAGAGATCTGAGTACTGATGACAAAGGCTCTCTTCTAATACCTACCACACTTCATAGAACCTATGATGCTGTTGAGTCAAAGATGTACCATTACTTTATGTACTAAAAAAATGAAAACAATATCAGTTAATTATAGATGCCATCGACCATAAAATACATTCTAGTTTCTATTATGTAAAATGCAAACATAATATGTGCATCTAAGAATCTATAAAATACTGTTAGGAAATTCATACTCATTGTTTGAAATTCACTACCTGCAGAAATCACATCAAGAACAAGAAAGCAAGGGCCTAGAAATCTCATAAAATATGACTAAATATGAAATAAACCTGCGGTCTAATTGATGCTTCTAAATTACTGAAGAGAATATGTTAACGAAAGGGAAGTTTAGAAAGAGGTGACTGACACACAAAAATGTGTCTGCAGCATTGTTAACACAGTTTTAGGATAAAACAAAACTCTGATTCACTGGGGGATTATATTCCCAGAGCACCAGATTAACATAAGTAAATTCCCCTGCAGCTGTTAATCTATTTTAAGAAACTCAAGTTCGTATTTTATCAAGGAGGAAAATACAGTTACAATATTGAGGGGATACAGCAGACCACTAAGTTTGTAATTTGCAGAAGGTAAAAATTTCTGTTTACAAAAGGATACATGTATCTGTGGATATATGTGAGGGTGTGTGTTACATATGAAAATTAGTCTGCATTTTCATGAATTTAGGGGACTAGAAGTCAGTGGAATTGAAAGAATTCTAGCAGCAAACAGCCTCCACTGGATGTTTTCTTAGCTTAACGCAGTTAATTCAACCTACTCAAACCTTATGCTTCCTGGATCCCATTAGGGAGGATCCTAGTGTCTACAACACATTGAATGAATATTAAAGGACTATGGGGTCAGACAAAGAAATGAACTTCAGGATTGAAGGGAGGCATAGAATGACAGGATTGCGTCTACTGCATGTTCTGAGAAGAAAAAAACAGCCCTAATATCTGCACTAATTGTGGGCACTGATCACAAACACAGGACCACCCATGGAGAACGAGAACATAACTTTGTTTTCATTATAACTTTGGTGGATTTTTTTAGGGATGAGTATGAATGGTTTAGGTAAAGGGTGGGAGTGGAAATATTTATAAAGGAACATAAATAAAATGAGTTCTTAAGTAACTTCCTCTGAATGAATCTGACTAATCTTGCCAGTGTTTTCTTGGCTCCCATGCGATCTTTATCAAACCAGGAAGTAGGTCAGCCAGACCTGGGGAAGACAAGACAATCAGTTGGTATGTAAACAATTGAAAGACTTCTGTAAATCAGTTAGGGATCTGTAAAATTTCTGAGGCTTAAAAGGTTGCTTGTCATATCTCAGAGGCTCTCCTCACCTTTTCAGCTTCCTTTATCCTGAATTCACTGATACAATTAGGTATGCAGATAAATCAAGAGGTTGAAATATTAAAGAACAGTCAGTTTAGTAAGGAAGTGAAGATTTTCAACACTACCTAAAATGTCTACTACATAGGTAAAGTAAACAGAGGAAAAATATGGTTGGATTAAACGCAATGTAATGAGTCTTTGTCAAAAATATGATTCTTCTTAGACTGATCCTAAGAGCTGCCATTTAAGAATAGCCAGTTTTAGTTACAGGTGAATATGACGGGATATTTCTTTGAATAAAGTAGCAAATCTCAGAGGTGTGGTCTATCAACTCTCTAGTCCGTATTATTCTTGGACAATCCTTCATTAGACATTGAGGATTTTGATACACGGCTCAGAGTCTTGCCCCTCTCCACAGCTCTTGCCCATCTTTTAGAAAATTACAGGGACTGTGCAGATAACCTATTCAATGGTCTATGATTTTCAGTTCTACTCCATTTCAGTCACCATCCACCCCTTTCCAAGGCAACCTTTATCATCATTTAGCACCATACTAGCTGTAAAATTTAGCCCGTGATCTTCCCGCTGACTTCTGCACCAAGAGTTCTCTCATCTTAATTTACACCTCATTACACTCTGACCTCATGTAGGCTTGACCCTTTATTCCTCAATTTTATTTCAGTCAATCTTCTTTTGAGTTTTCTTTCTTCACTATCATACATTCTCACCATCCAGAGAGAACTACTCTTAATATTTTGGTTTATAAGAATGTTACAATATTATCTTAAGTTGAAACAGAAATTTTGCTTTTTTATGACATCAGAACTATGAATTCTATATTGTTTGTGATTTTAAATCTTGCTAAAAACTCCCTCGCTGTAAGGTCTACATCCTATTCTACTAATTGTATAGGTTTTTCATTTCACAATTAGGCCTTCAATGCATCAGGAGTTCAGCTTTGTGAAAAGAGAGTAGGAGTGAAAACTCCTGAGGGGCTCATATCTGAGAAGCAGTGGAGAAGGTAGGTGGCATGGGTTAGGCAGACTAGCCAAGACACAGATTGTTCACTCGCCCACCCTCGGCAGCCATGCTCCTACTCACTCATCCCTCACTTAGCAAAACCCCTGCCTTAATTAATATGTTCAGATGAGAAATCTTGACATTCTCAAAACAGAAGATAATGTCATGAAAATAAACCAACCATTAAATAAAAAGGAGTTTGTGGAAACTAAACATATGATGCTAACAGAAAAGAATTCAGTATCTGAAGAAAGCTAAACTCAAGACAATCTTCTGGAAAGTAGAATAAGAGACAGGTGAAGAAATAGGAAAGAAAAGGTAAAATAATCAGAGAAATCCAGGAGGTCCAATCTCTAATAAAAAGGAGGTTTAGAAAAATAAAACAACAAAAACATAGGGGAATTTTGTTTAAATTATAAACAAAACGTCCTATATAGTGAAAAGAGGTTAATGAATACCAGCTTAGAAAATGAAAACAAACTCAAAATCATAATGTTGTGAACTTTTGGAACATTAATGATGAAGAAGAAAACATTTTTCAGAGAAGGGATGAGAAGTAAGTTACAATTAAAAGAAAGAAAATTAGATGACATTGGACTTCTCAGGTGCAGCACTAGACACCACAAATCAGTGGAAACACACCTTTTAAATTTTGAGAGAAGACTATTTTCAGGATAAAATTTTATAGTTAGGCAAATTCTCAATCAAATGTGAGGCTAAAATAAGACTTTTTCAGACATGCAAGGACTAAAAAAAGAAAGTGAAAAAAATGGACCTCAAATACTTGTTCACAGGGAGCTACAATAGGATTGCTACAGTAAAATAAGGGCATAAAATAAGAGAGAGGAAAATAATAGGTCTTGTTCAACAAGATACGCAATAAAGCAGAGTGATAAAATTATTCCACCTTCATGGTGAAGCTTAAAGAAACAGGATGAGACACTCAGCAGGCCAGAAGCAACTGGTTAACTAGAAAAAGAGGACAAAGGGTTCAGGGTTGGGTCTTCAGAAAAAAATGTGGAATTGAGGCATTGTCTGACATGTCTGAGATTTTGGAAAATAATATAGATAGCAATGTAATAGATGGTGGAATATTTGCAAAAATGAAGCATATCTATAAAAACTAAGCAAATGAAAAAGCTAAGTAAATTTGACTGAAGGAAAAACTAAATTTAGGCCAAACAAGGAAAGCTAATTAAGCTATCACAACACTGCTTGGTTCTGAGGCTTTTTATATAGCCACATTAATGTAAACATTATTGTTGATTTGACCAAAAATAGTGATAAAGTTACACTGGGATGATAAAAGAGGAGATGAACAAAGAGAGTGAAAATCTCATTTGCGTTACAGGAATTAATAAAATATGCGTAAAATTGATAACCCAAGAAATAGCATAAGCATAGTATCTAGAAATATGAAGATTAATCCAAAAGGAAAAACTAAGAGCTAAACTAAGACTTTCAGCCTCATACGTCCACTGGTCTGCTGGTCATATTTCCTCGGAGTCTTCTTCGCCATTACCACAGGTCAGTCTTGCTAAAACTAACTTGGTGATTATCCCCACCTCCACATCATCCCCTCTTGTATTCTCTCTCTCAATTGGGAGCATTATCATCAACCATTCACCCCGAACTAAAAATATGGAATCATCCTTGACTATCTGCTTTAACATTTCCCAAATTCTGATGATCTTACTACCTAAAATTTTTAAATATGCACCTTTATCCATTTCCACTTGCTTAATTCAATATTTCATCATTCAAAGGCTGAATTACAATAGTCCATTTATAATTCTAGCTCCCTTAATTCTATCCTTCACTTAATCACCAAAGTGATCTTAACTATGTTTACCCCTCTACCAATGATTCTAACACTTGTGCATGTGTGTATGCGTGACCTATTTCAGAAAAGGAAAGTGTTTAGTAATGTTAATGTAAGAATAAAAAGGCTGAAGGAACTCTGAATAATTCAGCAATAATTACAAATCAATTATTAGTACAATGTCACAATGAATGTTACAATTACATTCATTCATCCAAACAAAGGATAATTATGGAGCACTCACTACTATGTGCCAGATGGTGTGGGGGATTCTGCAGTGGCCAAAGCAATAGAATCCTTGCTTTCATGAAGCTTACATTCCAGTGGGGAGAGTCAGACAATTAACAAATAAACAAATAGGTAGTGATAAGTACTATTAAAAAAATGGCATATAAGTTTGGGTAGGTTGTTTTATTTCGGGAGAGCAGTAAAGGCTCAATGATTTGGTGACGTCAGAACAGAGACTTGAAAGAAGTGAGAGAGCCATAAGGGTATCTGAGAGAAAGGTGTTTTAGATAGAGGAAACAGAACGTGCAAGCATTCTGAAGTTGGGGTGCTTGGAGTGTTTGAGAAACAGCAAGGAGCCTAGTTGGTTGGAGCAGAGTGAACAAGAAGGAAACTAGTAGAAGATGACGAGGTCAGAAATGAAGCCATATGATGGATCACCTAGGGCCTCATAGGCCACAGTATGACCAGATTTATCCTAAATGTGTCCTAAATGTGCTGGAGATCCTCTGGGGGCTTTGCATAGAGGCGTGGCAAGCTCTGTCTACACATTGTGGATCTGTCTACTCTGTTGATTCTTACAAATTGTAGCCTCCGTATCTCTTCTGTCCTGTTTCTGCTGACTTTGCAAAGAGAAGGACCTTAATGTTTGCTGATATTAGGGGGTGAGTTCAGGAGGAGGGGAAGAATCATGGGTGGAGGTGTTCAGCCCAGGTCTTCAGTCTTCAGTCCAGATGGTGGTCCATTTTCTCTTCATGCACAAACAGCCTGGCATAGAGAAGATTGATTTTTCATTAGGAAACTTTTTGCTGATAGAGAGATTCTACCCACTTGCAAATCTTTGACTTTATCCTGAGAGAGCTAATATTAATATGCCTGATGTAATTATGCAACAAGAACATTCATTCCCTCTTTCCACCCCTGCTCTGAGTTAGGTTGCAAAGTAGTCATGAGTTGACTGACAATAAAGAGTGCTCCAATCAAATTACTTTTTCTCCCATTGTGGACTAGTTTCCCCATGAAGAAAGAAAGATGACTGAAGGTATTTTCTGATTACATACTTCTATCTCCGAGACCCAGAGGAGAAATACTCTTCCCTAGTTTCAATAAAAACTCCAAAATGAAAGCCTCTGGTTGGCCTGGCTGGGATCACATGTTCACCTTTGGCTCAATCACTGTAGCTAGAGGAGTGAATGAGTCGCTCTGACACGCCAGGTACAGATGGGGTGCCCATCCCAGCCCTGGAAAGAAAGTACTATGATGGATAGCCTGAGCAGGAAGGGGAGGGGAAGCCAGACAGATAAAATATACAAACATCTACTATACGTGGCATGCAAAATGTTTGACGATCTGAAGGCTGCCTACTTCCACAGGCTTATCTCCTTCTACTCCTTAAATCAGATTATGCCCCAAAAGTAAAGCAGAGGAGTTTAGAGAATGACTTTTGATCTTAGCAGATCAAGGTTTGCATTAGAAATTTGCAATTGACTGACTACATGACCTTGGGTAATTTTTGTAACCTCCGTAGGCCTTAATTTTTTAATTTGTTAAATGTGGTAAATACTGAAACCAAAGGAAATGATGCAAGAAAAACACGTGGCGTAGGGTCGCCCAGGTAGCAGGTGTGAGATCTTACAGGGTCACTAAAAAGCACCTCCCTTTTCCTCTTTCAATTTTGTTTAATTTAAAGAGATATTCAGGAACCAGAAGATGGAAATACCTTTAAAACATGTTAAATCATATCTTTCTGCTTAAAATCCCTCAGCAATTTCCCATCTTACACAGAGTAAAAGCCAAAGTCGTTACAGGCCTATGTGACCCTGAAATCACCTCCCCCACTCCCCAAACCCCTGTTACCTCTCTGTCCTTTTTCCTGTGGTTTCCCTCATGCTCACTTTACACAGCCACACTGGCCTCATTACTGTTCTTCAAACTTTCAGGAAATCTCCCACTTCAGATCATTTGCCCTGGCTTTTCCCACTGCCAAGAGCACTCTAGGGATGTGCATGCACATGGCTTGCTCCCCACTTAGGGATGGAACTAGACATAGTCTCTGCCCTCATTAGGCTCTCAGTCTAGGGGAGATGGGCATTAAATGCATAAACAAACAGATATGATATGATTCAAAGTTTGGTGAGTGTTATGATAAAAAATACCTGTACTCCTACTCCAAGAGAGAATAATGTGCCAGAATTACTCAATTCAGAATGGTGGACAAAGGAAGGGCCCCATAAGGAAAGGGCATTTTAGCTGGGAGTTGTATGCAAAGTGCATAATCAGAAAGTACAGACCTTGTCCAAGACCATTATCCAGTCAAGTAGAGATGGAACAATAATGAGGAGTCACCTGAGAGCCAGCAATATTGATGGTCAGGGTCTGCAATCTTCTATCACACCCACTCACTAGCAGAAGGGAGTTCAGGAGCAGGAAATTCAGTACATGAAGGAATTCAATGAAAAGGGAACCAGTCTAATAGGATCAGAGTGTAACCAAGAGCAAGACTGATTTAATGTTCTACTGAGAGCTATTCACTGGGTCTTCTCATAATCCCTTCATCTTAGGGAGAATTGTTCTTAGAATAGAGTGGGGCTCTTTCTTCACTTTTCAATCAGGAAGCAAATAAGTAAGGATGACATTATTTGAGGAGTAATCTTAGCTCCTCTCAAACTGATTCTTTTAAAATTTTTTATTTTTAAATAATTGTAGACATGGGAAGTTGCATAGACAGTACACAAAGTCCTGTGTAAACTTTGCCTAGCTCCCCTAATGGTGAAATCTTATACAAACATCTTATATACAATATCAAAACCAGGAAATGGACACTGGTATAATATTGCTGTGATAGTTAATTTTATGTGTCAACTTGATTGGACCACAAGATGCCCAGATAGCTGGTTAAAAATTATTTCTGGATATATCTGTGTTGGTTTTCAGGAAGAGATTAGCATTTCAATTGGTAAACTGAGTAAGACCAAGGGCCCTCCACAATCCAATCCATTGAGGGCCTGAATAGAACAAAAGGTAGAGGAAGGTTGAATTCACCCTCCCTCTTCCTGACTGCTTGAGCTGAGACATAGATCTCCTGTTCTCAGGGCTCCTACTTCTCAGGCATTCAGACTTGGACTGGAATCTATACCATTGGCCCCCCTAGTAGCAGATGGCAGATCATGGGACTTCTCAGTCTCCATAATTGTGTGAGCCAATACCCTATACTAAGTCATATATATACATATTATTGGTTCGGTTTCTGTTTCTCCCAAGAATCCTGAGTAATACAACTGCCAATTAGACTACACACCTATTCAGTTTCTACTAGTTTTTATATGCTCTCATTTGCATGTATATGGGTGTACACTTCTATGCAGTTTTGATATCATAAACAGATTCATGTAGTCCCCATCACAATCAACATACAGAATGATTCATACAACTTAATAGCAAAAAAACCCCCAAACAATCAGATTGCTGGGAAGATGGTGGCGTAGGAGGGTGCTGAATCACCTCCTCTGAAAGATACAACAAATCTACTACTACCTGTGGAACAATTTCTTCTGAGAGAGATCTGGAAACTGGACGAAAAGAACCCCCACAACCCGGGACACCACTGACAGGTGGAAGAGGCAGAAATGCCCCTCTGGGAGGAAAAACCACACTCTAGATACAGTATTTCACAGCTGGGAGCAATCTTAAGGTACAAAGCTTTTCCCAGAGGAGTGGGGAGATGTGAGTGGGAGATTTATGCCACAGTAAGCACCCCAGCTATTGAATTCAGCACGACTGAGATGAGTTCCCATAATACCTAGCTTTGCTGGCTTTTAAAACCAACAGGGAATACCCCCAGAAAAACTATCAAACATCAGAGAGAGAAAAGCCAGATCTTAAAGGGCCCAAACACAGATTCACCTGTTCCATAAACCAACACAAAATCACCAGAAAGAAAGGTGCATAGTCCTTTGGTAAAAGAGATACATTTGTTAAGCTCTGAATGCATCTCAGGGAGGCAGGAGGTGGCTGGGCTCACCTTCTGCCCCAGGGACTGAGACACTGGTGGCAGCACTTACGGTGACCTAGTGCAGGCATGCTAACATCAACACTGGCAGACATCATTGGATTTCTCCCTCTGGCTTGTTAGCACAAGGTTTGCCCCACCCAGTAGAGCACCAATTTAATCCAGTACAGCCAGGGCAAGCAGCCTACCCCAGGGACTGGCCCTGCCCACCAGCAAGTCCTTGGAGAACTCGGGGGCCTGTATAAGCATGGCGTGACTGGGTCTGCTTCAGTGGAGCAGGGTATGTGCACAGGGTGGGTTTTCATTGGTGGGGTGTGTGGGCCCACAGGAGGTGGGGTGTGTCAGCCACAGCAGACTTGTACTGCTGGCCATCTCAAACAGCCACACTGGGGACCTGCCCCACTTTCCAACTCCTGAAATTCTTGTGCGCTGCTGTGCCTAGAGCCAGCACCACCACCACCCCCTCCCCAGCTGCACTCCTGAGAGAGCTGACAACAGCCTTGCAGGCCAGAGGCCTGCAGCAATTGTGAGCTCCTGAGCCTAGCAACCAGCCATGCTGGGGGCCTGACTCACTTAACAGCAAAATGTGAACAGGTTTGTGCTATTAGAACTTGCAGCCAGCCATTCTGGGGCTTTTCCCACCTGTTAAAGTGAATAAAGTGACCACAGCAGCCACACGAGGCTGAGCCTTACCACTAGCAGTCCTGGGGGCCAGCCTAGCCTACCTGTGTGCCCACAGCAAGAGTAACCCCGCCAAAACAGAAGGGCACACATAGCCCACACTTTTAGAACATTTGGAACTAGTGATGAGAGGGAAGCACAATGCTGAGACCTATAAAGCATCTGTCATAAAAGGCCACATCTCCAAGATTGGGAGACATAGCTGATCTACTTAATATGTAGATATAAGCACAGAGAAATAGGCAAAATGATGATACAAAAGGATATGTTCCAAATAAGGGAACAGGATAATCCTCAGAAAAAGAACTAAATGAAACAGAGATAAACAATCTACCTGATAAAGAGTACAAATGAATAGTCACAAGGATGCTTACTGATCTTGGGAGAAGAACAGATGAATACAGTGAGAACTTCAACGAAGAATTGGAAAAATATAAAAAATAACCAGGACTGAAGAATACAATAATGGAAATGAAAAATTCCCTAAAGGGACTCAACAGTAGAGCTGATGACACAGAAAAATGGATCAGTTATCTGGATGAAAGAGTAGAGGAAATCACTCATGCTGAACAACAAAAGAATTAATAAGAGCAAGGACAGCCTAAGGGACCTTTGGAACAACATCAGGTCTACTGACATCCATATTATAGGTGTCCCAGGAGGAGAAAACAGAGACAAAGGGGAAGAGAACTTTCTTTGAAGAAGTAATAGCTTAAAACTTCCGTAACCTAAGGACAGAAACAGACATCCAGGTACAGGAAGCATAGAGAGCACAAAACAAGATGAACCCAAACAGGCCCACATTATAATTAAAATCTCAAGAATTAAAGATAAAGAGAGAACACTAAAAGCTGCAAGAGAAAGGCAACAAGGTACATACAAAGGAAACCCCATAGGCTATCAGCTGACTTCTCAGAAGAAATCTTACAGCCAGAAGGGAGTGACACAATATATTTAAAGTGCTGAAAGGAAAAACCTACAGCCAAGAATACTCTACCTGGCAAGGTTATAATTCAGAATGGTAGGAGAGATAAAGAGTTATCCAGATAAGCAAAAACCACAGGAGTTTTTCAACCAG